AATGTCTAATTCTTTTTTAGTTGGTGTAAACTGCCTGCAGTTAGATGCAGGCATTTAATTACTACTGTTATAAGCTCTTACATTAACTTAGAACTTGATGTTTTATCAAAGCACTAAAGACAACCAAAGATTTAAATATTTAGATACATTCTTCAATCTAACCCTTGAATGGAGCTGACCAATATTCTGAATTGTTTTGAAAGCTAGATTTTTTTAACTAGTTCAAAAATCACAGAACTAAGATAGCTGGATAATTTGGATATGCCAGCTGTCAGACTTAGATAGCATGATAACCATTACCCAATCAAAAAACTGAGTAAAATCGAAAGTTTTTTGCACTGATTTATAATCATGTGCCTTTATTATAAAAAACTATGGCTTAGTTTGAAAGCATTCTTAAGTATAGCTCTCCAAATTATGCAAATAAACTTAGTTGCTAAAATGCCAAACTTGGAGTAAGGATTATACTGCAGAAGTTTCCTAAATGCATTTCAATACTGGTAAAGATGAATTGTTATCATGCACTGTATTTATATGGGAAGAAAGCAGTGAGACAGAGGATAATATATCAAGGTAATACTGAAGTAATATACAAACCAAATAGTTTCAACGACATGAAAACTAAGCCTGAAAGAAGATTTCTGATGTTAAATACCAAGATATTTGTACAGTCCTATTAATTTGCCCATGTTATATTTGAGGGATGTCAAGTCTGCATATTTTAACTGGAAACCATATTTAAAGTGTCCAGCTATTCTGAATCCTCTAGCATCAGAATATTAGAAAGAGCCATCAGCAATTTAGATGTAAATCAAATTAATTTGATTGAAAGAGAATAAAGACCAGTAAGATGATGACGTGAATGAGCAAGAGGCAGGGCCTGAAAAAAAAAATATCAGCTGCAAAACAGAATTACTACTTAAACAACTTAATGCAAGATGAAAGATCTCAAAGAGATCAAGTGAAGTGCCCTAGTAAGCAGCACTTCCTCATACTTGGAAAGGTCCCATAGGGCCTCAGCTTCCACATAGCTTTGACATACATATGTAATAAGGCTGTTTGGACCGAGCAGGAGTCTGTTCTCTTCCCTGTCCCAGGCATGGAAAGCTAAGTGTATAAACAATCAACACCAAATAAAGCAACTCAGCTGTGGCAGGATGTAATCTCCCACAGATAATCCATTTGATTGGACTGCTTCTCCCACCTGCACTGGACAGGGGCCTGCTCCTGTACAGCAATGGGAGATTATTTCCCACTAAGAGACATACTGGGTTTCCATGCTTAGATATTTGCCCAACTGAATCTGAGTTGGATATCTAAGGGCAGAACCCCAACTTTCCCCTCTTATGGAGATGCAACTCAGGGAATGTGAGGAAAGCTAGGGTTTCCCACTTACTGAGACACACACTTCAGAGACTGCATGGGACATGTTTCTAAGTGGGGAAATCTGGGCAGGCGCTCCTGGGGCTTGAGTGGCCTGATCCTGCATGGGAATTCTCAGGGTACATAAGATTGGACCCCGCAAGCCCCAGGAGTACCCACCCAGGGTGGCTGGAGAGTGTGGGCAGCTCTGGGCTGCCTGTGCTCTCATGCCATTAAGCAAACAGGTAACTGCTGCAGTGAAGTGGCAGAAACTATTACCACCTTTGTCACAGCCACAAATATTGTTGCAGACAGAAATTTGGGGCACTTTGGTGTGACAAGGGGTATGAACATCTGTTTGCTTGGCTTTTGTGCTGCCATAACAATTATGGTGGCACAAAGGTGACGTCTGTTTTGACCCCAAGGAAAACCTCATCTCTTCTTCACCCTCTCGCATACCCTACTGACTACCGAAGGAAGCAGAACCATTCTTTTCTTTTCCCCATTTTCTTCAGCTTCTGCATAGCAGAGCCTTTCTCAATCTTTCTTTCTTTTGAAAGAGGTTTTGTTCCTTGCCTCCATTCCCAGCAGTGAGAAGACAGGGCAGAGCAGAGCTCCAAATTCTCTTCCTTTGTTTTCTCCCTATGTTACATGCACACAGCACTATGGCTCATTGCCTTTATTCTGAGTTTCACAGAAGGACCAATGGGCAAGTAAACAATACCAATGAAGTGACTGCCACAAAATACCTTCAAACTTAGAATATGTCATTATTGTGGACACTGACGAAACAGGAAAATGCCCTTCCTCGATCTGATCTGGTGGCAGTATCAGTCAGATGGTCAGAGCAGATACTGGAAGTCAGGCAGAATAAAATAACCAACTCTACCCTAACTCTGCAATCCTATACTGCATATGTGCACAGATTTATGCTATGCTACTGGAGGTATGTCAGACTCAGAGTGCACAGCCTGGTACATGTGCCTTTGTGTATTCACAGACCGCACACCTACAAAGAAGAAATGAGGCTAAGAATCTGGAACTTGAAGGGTCAGCTATAAAGCAGCATCACTGAAAGACTTTGCAAAAGATTTAAGAAAAATTAGGAATGAAAAAACAGGAAGATCACGTGGCACTCTTGCTCAGCACCAACCTTTGCCCTGTTCTGTCCCGATGATCCTGTATTTCTTCCAGTGTCCTATGCTCACTCTTTCTATTCATATACCCTGTCCTCACCATGTGGAGGCCATTGATATTTTTGTTAAAAGCTGAAGCACTAAGACAATCAGAGGACAAATAAAAAATATGAAGGCAATCCCCTGAGAAAGACCTGACGTGAATGCTGCTGTGAGTAGAGCAGCTACTGTCAGCATTTCCCCCCATATTTCAGCAACACTGTCACTGAGCTATTTTGGCAAAGCTAGCCTCCCTGCCCTCCTCCAGCTTCCTGACATCTACCCAAGCTGCAGATCTGCTCATGAATTTTTAATTTTCAATGCATTTAAAGTAACACAGGACAGCAAGAGACCTCCAAGCCCTTCAAATCCAGTCCCCAGTGTTTGCAGGGAACCATTTATCTAAAAAGGTCCACAAGAGCATCAGCTCCAGTCCTTCTTGTGCATCTCTGCAATGAAAAACCTGGTGTTTCACAAGGGGAGTATGACACAAAAGCCACCAATTCTCTGACTACTGCAAGAGCAGGGAAATCTGTTCAGAAAAGTATGTTCAGTTGGGCCTAGGAAGGGATAATGCCCAGTTTTGTAAAAGAAAGAAAAATAACCTCAGCTGTCATTATCAGTCTGACTAGAGAGGGGAAACCTTCCTGCCTTGAAATCTGATGATCAGCTTGAGCAAGGAGGCAAGATGCATGAGCCAGGCACCTGAGAGTTTCTTGACCAGTGTCCCAGCCAATGTCCTACCCCCAGTGATGGCCAGTGTCTTATGCCTCAAAAGAAAATTTAAAAATATCCAGAAGTACATAATGGTTTTCACAAGAAGGGGAAAAATTCTTCCTGGCCTCTCCATGCAACCAGCAGGAATCCCGATGTATGAAAACCCAACATTTCAAAATTTTCTAAGAGGAATGAGACCCAATCTCTAGTCAATCTCCTTGACTGGCTCTCCTTGTGCTATGGACCCTAGAAGCCCTGTGGTCCAGCTCCAAGGCTTTCTACTTGGTTGGCTGTCCTGGAGTTACAAACCCTGGTAGCCCTGAGAGACAGGACTGCTGAGGAGCTCCAGTCTGGAAGATGGGGCTTCCAGACACTTGCCTTCCTGTTAATAAACCTGACAGGCAGGTGACCTGACAGGGATGGTTCTGTAATACTGTCACTGAAATCAAGCCATTTACATGAAATGTTTCAGTTTTGACTAAGGCACAAATTTAACTTAATTTAAATCTGCCATAATCACAAAAGGCTTAATACTTGCTTTTTTTTTTAAATGGTAGATGAGATTTGAGCAATATGATCACTTGTAGAACTAAGATTTTAAGAAAAACCAAACACTGAAAGACTGATGAAAAAGTCACAAGAGTTGGCAATGCTGCAAGCTGGGTGAAACTGCTATGCTCTTTCCATGACGCTGAAAGCTAGTACAGGTATACCTTGGAGATATTGCGGGTTCGGTTCCAGACCACCACAATAAAGCGAATATCGCAAAAAAGCGAGTCACACGAATTTTTTGGTTTCCCAGTGCATATAAAAGTTATGTTTACACTATACTGTAGTCTATTAAGTGTGCAATAGCATTATGTCTAAAAAACAATGTACATACCTTAATTAAAAAATACTTTATTACTAAAAAATGCTAACCATCATTTGTTGGAAAAATGGCGCCGACAGACTTGCTTGACGCAGGGTTGCCACAAACCTTCAATTTGTAAAAAAACACAGTATCTGAGAAGCGCAATAAAGCGAAGCGCAATAAAACGAGGTATGCCTGTATGAGTTAGTGGGGGAGGAAAACACTGGGAGAAAGGATAAAAAGACAAGATACTGCTTTAGACATATTTAGATGTAGTTACAGTTTGTCTGAAATTCTGTGCAGTGGACAGCTTGTTCCAAGAGGTGTAGAGCCATCACACCGATCTAAATATTTCTAGAATATTTTTTTCTGATAAGCATGCTGTGTACAGAAAAACACTTGCTGGCATGGTATAATGATTTGTATCAGCACACATCCAGGAACCCCTCATTGCTTCCTTTTCAGATTTCCCATGTGTGAACAGCATGGTTAACTGAAATTCTCTCCGGTGAGAACAGAGGTTTCATTATCATGTATTGTCTGCAAACACATGTACTAATACACTTCCCCCCCGCCCCCCAATCTTACCTACAGCTACAACATTCATCACTTGAAAATCAGTACTCAAGTACACAAGCAACATTTAGTTACCAAAACAAAAGTCTCATTCACAAAAGGAAAAGGAACAAAATCTGAATTGGCCCAGTTCTCAAAATCATTCATTATAAATCTTCATTTTAGACAGAACTAACTTTATACTTACAATCCAGAATCTCTGCAGCCAAGAGAACACAAATTTATGAACACTTTCACTTCCTCTATCACACACAATTTCATTTCAATTCCCCAAAATTACATTTAATTATTCCCTATCTCTGAAAATAACATATTACCTGATGGTATTTCTTGAGAATGTTGTGCATTTCTGCTACATCTTCACTTGTTATCGTTTTGATGACATATCTTTTGTCATATGAGGTGTGAAAGCGGGCACCACTACGTGCCTGAGAATCATTAGCAAGTGGCGCACTTCTTGTCAAGGAATTCTGTCAGTTCAAGAAAAACACAAAACTGTTAGACCAACAAATGCACAATGTAATTAAAAGGCATATGACACATTTGATTTTATTTGCTATTCCCTTTCAAATCATTTTTATGCAGCTGAAATCTTCTAAAATAATAACAACTTTCTAGATTGAATCAGCATCTGCTGAACAAAATCCTTGGCAAAGAGAATACATTAGTAGTGATCATGTTCAGTGATCACCATGTTCAGTTATTTTTGAAGCAAACTTCTATTGACCACTTAAGTCTTTTTCAGAAGCAATTTTCTTCCAAATATTAGAAAATAAGATAAAGTACAAAATTAACACTAACCCACAATAATTATGCATACAGGATCAATCATGTGAACAGCATCATGTGATCAGCAGGCTTGACATGTCACACTGTTAGAATGATCAAGTACACAATAGGCAGAAGACCCAAGTCATAATTCCCAAATCATAATCCCAGTCCTACCGCTGACTTTATACCCAGGACTGGGCAAGTCAGTTTTGCACACTCTTTCAACTCCCCTTCTGTAAGTGAGGAGAGCCACCTACTTCAGAGGGAAGCCCGGATTAACATTTATTTAAAAAAAGCTCTGAAGATGAAGTATTATGGCATTAGTATTTTTAGACTGAAGTTTGTAACCTCAAAATCCAGTGGGGAGGGAGAACTTTGAATTTTAGGAGAAAGAAGTAAATTAGTGTACTGATAGGGGTTGTTTTTAAAATTAAGACTACACTGTATCATTCGGTTTTATAAAACTTAATACACTGTTAGTTGGAAACAGCTTTCATGAACAACTGCCATGTATCATTACCACTATATACCTGTAATATTACCTTTAATTTTTAAGAGTAATCATGAGACTGAAGTTCCAGCATGCAGTAAGAACAGTGACATTCCTACAGTGCTTAAATCACCAAAAAGAACCTAGGTAAGTGACACATGATTTTTTAGCATAAATTAAAAGACTATAACACTTCTGACTTTTTAGGGTAGATTTACAACACCCAAATTTGGGAACCAACAGTGACTATGGCATTATGTGCATATAATGCCATTTGAGTCAAGCATGCGATTATGTATGGTGACTTCTTACAACTGGTGGTTTTCTACAACAACAAAAAAAAGCCACTTCCGAGTACATTACATTAAAATTGTATACCAGACTCCGCAGTGTTAGAGCTAACCCCATTTGGGAGCTTTCAATTTAACAAATATCTTGTCCTAGTACACAGAAGAGGCAAAACAAATTGCAGTAGCAAGCGTATCATGCATTTTGATTTTCAGATGCACCACTTTGTTCAGTTATAAGATAGGTACCATCAGATAAAAGAATGTTTTTTCAAAAAGTGATTATAACCGCAAATAAAACCAGGGTACTTGTCAATAACTGTAATTCTTTGAATGTATTCTTTCTACAGAGCTCTAGTTGTGGGATCTCTACCTACTGATCACATTGTATAAATCTTGAAAGCAATTATTTTAGGAGGGGGACACACTGCTCTCTCACCCTCCAAATTCAGGTTGTAGGAAACTAAATCAAAGTGCCTAAGGGAATATTTATAAACATTTTCATATTTAGTTGGTTTTCCTTTTAAAAAGGAAGGATGCTTACAATTTCCACAAATGTTTATTTAGGTCCTGATCATGCCTTTGAATTCATGCAAAGATGCATGCATTGCATAAGTTTCCCTGCAAAAAAGGGCCTTGGACTGGAAATCATACCACTATTCAATAAGTAGTGGCCCAGTAAATCTGAAATGCAGTTTTTGCTCATTCCCCTTCCCCTCCTTCCCTATCATTATATTTATATGTATTCATATATTTTCCAAAATTACTATCTTCACTTTCCTCATTTTAAAATTCAGGTAATAAATGAAAATATATTTTACAGAATATTAAAGGGTCAATTAGGACAATTGAAAAGGTTTTCTTTGTTTAAAAATTGTAAATCCTCTGATAAAAAAACCCCCAAATTCCCCGATTAAAAACATCAAAATCCACATTTTTCTAAATACCTATATATTTTGGTATTTAATTTTGTTTTGTTTTTTTATCATGGAAAAATCAGAGCTCCCACTGCCACATTTGCTTATCAGGACACAGGTCCAGCTATAACTGTATCCCCTGCTGCCTTTTGGCACCGAGCAGCCCTGTTATGCTGGTGCCCCCTCATTCCCAAGCTACACAGCTCCACCAGCATGACTCTCACTCCCCTGTCCTGCCACCACCAGCCCTGCAGGCAGAGCCAGTCTTAGGGACAGACCGAGGGCAACTCCCCATGGCACTGAGGTGGCAGAGAGGCATCACAGCACCCCAGGACAGGTCCCTGCCTTAGCTCGGGCAGGAGCAGGGCAGGAGGAGGAGGAGGTAGCAAACTGGAGGTGCCCCTCATTCCCAACCCATAGCCCCTTTCTCCCTCAGCCTTGTCAGAGGGGACCCCCAGGCCCCAGTCTCCCACTGTGTGGGGCGTTTTGGAGTTTGCCTGCTGCCCCAATGATGCAGGTGTGGTCCAGACTCACCAGAGCTTGGTCCCACATGATCGGGCCCATGTACCAAACTCTGACATGCCCAAACTGCTCCTGTGCCATCAAGCCCTGCCCCCTCCCCCCCCAAATGGTACAGGGCTAGTCCGGGCCTTCAGGGGCCAAGCTGTGGTGAATCCAAACCAGCCCTGCACCACCAGGGGGGCCCTGATGGCACACAGGTAGTCTGGGTATGGCCCCTGGTGACATGTTGAGAGGGAATGGGGGGACGTGCCCCCCTCAGCTGCTGTGGGGTGTGGGGCTGCAGCCTGGCTGGACCAATAGACTCGGTGTTGGTGCTGTCATCACGGCTGGGAGCCTTGAGCCACCACCGTGGGGACTGCAGCACTGCAGCCACCACCACTGCCTATTCCTCCATTCATAGATTCATAGATTCAGGGTTGGAAGGGACCTAG